TATTAGTGTTATTAATCAAATATAATCAGATGGGAAATAAGACTAGTGTTTTTTATAGTCAAAATAAGTAACTTGTTAGAATGCTTTGATGTAGGTGAATTGAAATAGAATTTTAAGATTATTTATTATCCTCCTGTGATTTGACTGACTGGTGGTAATAATATCTTCCATGCATATCTCTGGTATTTGCATTGAGTCATTTCTGTTGCATGTGTTGGGTGTAGACTCAATGAACCAGGATTCAGTAATCAATAATAAATAATCTCAAAATTTTATTTCAATTCAAGCACATTACAACATTCTAACAAGTTACTTATTATGACTGTAAAAACACTCCTCTTATTTCCCATCTGATTGTATTTGATGAATAACACTCGTAATATTGTTTCTGAATGTACATTATTCCATATTGATTTTTATTCAAATATCTAGTCAGTTCCAAACATGTATATAAATGAAAGGAAAAAGTTGTGTGAGTAACTTGATATGATTATGAGCGGCAATAATTTGTGCTCTAAACGTGGTCATCAGTGAATATTACTGTATAACACCACAGTGTGATTTATCAAAATAAAATCTTATCCGTAATGAAGTTATACTATACCACAGTGCCCAAGTTTTATACTTATATCAATAGGACACGTTAAATTGTAAAATTGGGCAATGAAAAATATAAAACACTTCTATAATGCGCGTTAGCAGTTCGAAAAATCACTTGTGCACCTTCGAACTCAGATGTTCACCAGTAATATTAGGTGCGTTAAATGTCGCTCATAAAATTCGATGTAGTTCTTCTCTTAGACATAATCTACTGACATGTTCGGCTGCTGATGTTATTTTTCTTGATGTAATTGGAGTACGTATGCGTAAATATTTTGGAATTATATGATTTTTTAAACATCGACTGTTAAAAATCCGATGGTTTGTGAATCTTGCTTCTGTTTGACAAAGTCGTGTGAGTTTGTTGATAAGCTTCCTAGTAGGAAGACCATATGTATATACTTATATCAATAGTCGCTCATAAAAGCTTTACAGAGCGCTTTAAGGATAGTTCAAACTTCTGTCAAGCTTATACATATTCTAATAAAGGCTGTAAGTCATTTTCATATCTGTGTGTCACTATGATAATTCCGTGTAAATTGATTGTTTTCGTCCCTGAAATTAAATTAGTAGTATTTACGAATAAATGTGTTTATCATGTTCACTTCTCAAGTGACTTAAATGGTAGTGTTTCTGTTTACTTCAGAATTAATTTAATCAAAATTTAACTCAATTTAACAAATGGATTCTTGTTTTTCTTCTGCTGGTCTCATTGAGTCTGTTTTTTTTGTATATATTTATTAATTGTGATTAATTGCGGAAGCTGGTTGATTCATAGATTTGTAAAAATTTATTAGTTTATATATATATATTATATCAAGCTCTCTCAAAATTTCCACTTTATCTTCTTTGCTTGTTTATAAAAGTTAATGCCTACTCACTTTTATATTGTTCATGATTATTATTGTTGTTCCTTTGGGTTCCTAGTGGAAAGTAGGTCTTTAGCAGCTCGCCTTTACTTTGTCCTATTTAGCTGGTCCAATGACCGCCCATAGTCTCTGATCTCCTCCTCGCATGACCTACCCAATGTCACCCAAAGACTCCCTACTCGTCGTTTCCTATTCGTGTCCCACTCGAGGTCTGGCCTGGTGAGCGCTGTCACCCAAAGGTCTCCTCACAGTGTGTGTCCGATCCATCTCCATATTTGTTGAGTAATGGGTTCTTGATCGGTTTGTCCTGAGAGTTTCCTGCAGCCAATCCTTTCTGGCCAGCCATTTGATCTTCAATATGAGCGGAAGGCAGCTGCTCGAAAAAGTCTGTAAATTTCGTCTTCCTTTCTTTATCGAGATCCTCTTTCAGCAGAAACTCAGTTATTAGTTCTTCCAATCTCTCTGGGAAGTTTCCTGGATTTGAATTAATATACAGACAATTGTAATTTGATAATCCATGTTGATATTTACATTTTTATGAGAGTTCTAACCAATAATTGTCGTGTATAGTTTGTTAAGATGATGTTTTCAATACTCATTTGCTTCCAGACACTGACTAATTTGAGTCAAACAAAGTAATTACCACAAATTAAAAATCATTATAGTGTAATCAGAACAAGATGATTTTTGAGCGAACAATTGTTTTCAATAGTTTCTTCTTCTTCAGGCTCCATGATTATAAATCCATGAATATTAGCATACAGACAACCAATAAACGCAAATGAAAATTAAATCAGAAACTGTATTGGGGTACATGTGTTAGATGGAATGGTAGCCCGTCCGTTAACATTGTCAATTCAATGTATATTGTGTATAGTCAATAAAAATAAGATAAAATGTGATTAGACAACTGGGTGACATACTAATGTGTTAATAGTCAATACATATATAAGTCGTGACCAGTAGAGTACAGCAGGTCGGGCGTGAGGACAAGTATTCACCGAAGATATTGGCTAGTGGTCGTACTATGTCATGAATTGGCAGAAGTTGGAATTCTTGGGCCGTTGGATTAAGGGTTCGCAATGACTTAGCGGTCTACGAGCTCGCTAACCTTGTAACCAGAAGGTCCTGGGTTCGAACTTTGGCGGTGGGTGTGTACTAATGAAGAGTCCCAAACTAGGCTGACGAAACAGCTGTCCACTACTCCCAGCTGGTTTTCCAATGGTTATCTAACCAATGTCAGCTTGTGGCGAAATCCTGTAACCAATAAAGTATAAGTTTCATTGGGGAGTACTGAGTTATGTACAAAGGTGTGAGAGAAATATAATTACTACAAAATATATACAAACAAATGCCAACAAATGACCAACACTGAATGCAAATTCAAGGGCAGACAGATAACAAGTGCAATGATAAAATAAAGATGTTAAACTGTGAACTATAATAAAATACTCGAGAAATGATGAGCTTAGTGTAAACTGCGAAGGTTGACACATAATAAGGATAATAATGGAATAGAGTGAACTAGGTGAAGAGGAATAAGAAAGGCATGATATGACATGAAAATATAAGATGATTACGTCACTGATGACCTTAATGTAGGCCAGGATCAACAAAGAGGATAAATGTGCTTCTTTTGCACACATAGGTCAGTTATCTTTTTTTTAGTCTGTATAGCTTCGGCTGTGGCCAGCAGACGTAATCGTGTACCTTTAGGCAGATTGTTTGGTACTCGATATACAACTGAAATGACTCATCTATTTTGATGCGGTGTTCACTATCCACTAGATGAGACAAAATGCCACCATTCATTGATTTAGTTACTGTTTTTCTAAGCCAAACAGAAGCATGTTCACAAGTGCGTAAAGATTAATGCCTCTGAATTCGAACTATATAACTAGCTCCAAATGAGCAGTTGAATTTGTATGCACTCATTGATGTGATCGTCTTTGGTAATATATCTTTATTGCACTGTGTTAGTACTGGTTTGATTGAGAAACTGACGTGTAGTTCTGCAGCAGTGAAAGTTCTTTCAGTTGATCTGATCAACCTACGGCTTAACACTCCATTGAATATATCACCTTTGAAATGCACCCTTAAATAAACCTTTTTTACTCACTGTGTCCCACTTAATCTAATCAGTACTTATGAGAATGTACCTCTTTACAAAACTGGTAGGATAACTATTGTGTAGCAGAGTAATTTTAAGATTTTCAATCTCATTTTCGATACAATCCTCGGTACATATTTGTCTAATTCTATGACTAAGACAACGAATTAAATTCGGCTTCTTATAATTACCCTTAGAAATTAATTGCACTTCGGAACTAAAATGTTCACGTCACAGTTTTTTAAAATTTCAACTCGGTCGCTACATGTGGGAACTAAATGTAAGATTGAGTATACACCATGGTGAATGTCACTGGCAGTCATTAGATTCAATTCTCGGGGTTCCTTTTCATTGATTCCGTTCAGCACCTGCATTTCAAGCAGATTGATGGTTAACGCTTTGAGGAGTAAGGCATCCAAGCGCGGGAGCACTTTGTGCGTCGGTGTCATAGTGATTAGGACTCTCGCCGACCATGGACATGGTCCGGGGCTCGATCCCCGGCCGACGCACTCCTTTAGCTCGCTGAGCCAGAAATAATGTTGGTGAAGAGGAAAGGTTGGACATGAGGCTAACAACCCCATACTGTAAAATAAGCACTGCTACAGAAACTTCAAGCCACTAGCTTGAGGCCCTATGTTCCACTGGGGAACGTGAAGGAAAAAAAGATGGTTAACGCTTTGAGGAGTAAGGCATCAAAGCATAAAATGCAGTATTTTCATACTTGAACCAACTCAGATATCCTCTTAATTTCTATATATGTTCTTATTTTATTCATTTGCACTCCCAGGGTCCTTCATTTTAGAATTTTCAGTAAGCGGTGTTATTTTTCACGGAGTGGGGTTGCTAACCCTATGCCTAACCTACACATCTTTGCCGGGTATAATACCGGCTAAGCGTGGATTGGGAGTACGTTGGCTGGGAATCGAACTCGGGGTCACATACAAATTTGGCAAATATTCAAAACCTGAACCAGTGAAGCACTTTTAGTTGGCACTCTGTGATTAAGAAGGTGTCGTTCATCATCCCCTTAAAATATTGTGTTAGTAGATACAATACAACCTTCCTAAATAAGTATTATGGTTATTCTTAATCAGTGGCCATGGGAAACAATCACTCTGAAAAAGCGATAGACAGTTGATTATATAGATGTTATGCTTATACTATTTCTTATCTTTTCAGCCAATAAATAAATAAGTGTTTTATTGAAACTTATCATAAACATTTTTGGTAAATTTTTGACTCGAAGAACAGAATTCAGTTTATTCCAGGTTCAGATAAGTTATTCGTGTTTCCGCTGCGCTGATTGGTTAAATGGTTACTAATGGTATTCTGAATGGATTATGATTGGCGGAAAAGTGAAAATAGTTTATACTAACAGTCTCATTTGAACGTCCATTGTATGTTTTTTTTAAAACGACGTATATCAGTCGTGGACTGCAACTGCAGTATGATCATGATGATCAGCTGTGCAGAATATCTTACACACAATGAATCATCATATGAGGCGATTTCGAACCAGTAAACATTGATATGAATATTTTCAACACAAACACGATACTATTATTATAATTCGTATACGAATAGCTGAGAAGGAGCTTTACTTTTTAAATACTTTTTCAATTTGTCGTCATTAAAACTTCCCATTCAGCGAAAATGATTTTCCAACAAGAATTTAATGCACAACACTTATTTTCACCAATTCATCTGGCAGCTGCTCAAATATTTAGTCCGAAAGCGACTACTGTCCTTTCACGTGAAGAACGTATCCGTCTACGGAAAGAAGAACGTCGTCGACGTAAACTACAAGAACTCAAGTCAGGATGTAAACGTTTTATAGCAATGCTTTTTTCGCATATAGGATTATCTGGTCTTGTTATCGCCTATACAATCATTGGTGGTATCATGTTTGGTAATATTGAACGTAGAAAAGAGAAAGAAACTAAAACGCTTGCCTATGAGTATAGAATTGAAGCTTCAAATGAATTTTTACACTTATTTTTTAGTGAATTACAAGCATACCTGACAAAACAACCACAATCGTGTAATAATACGATTGCCTTTATGGGTTTTATTCTAGATTTTTTAGAGAAAGAGAAACCAAAAAAGGCAATAACATCTTCTGTAGACGGTTATGTTGATAATTCAAATTTTACTATGAATGCAACAAGCTTTATGAATACTACACAGTTTTTTACTACAGATAACACTAATACCACCATAGGACAAAGTCTAAATGACACAGTGTACACTAATTCTTCAATAAATATCACAAAGCTAATGGATAGTAAACCTTCTATGATTTCTGATCTTAGAAATATAACACAATCGATAACTGAACAAGAATTAGATGATATAAAAGGTGAAAATTCATTGAAAAGACAATTTATTATCTTATTACGTGGACGTATACAAATAGCATTGATGGAGTTTACTAAACGTGTTGTCGATTTTATAGAAACTGATGGTTGGAATGGTAATGATTCTATGGAAGACTTAAAATGGTCATTTGCTGGCTCTGTCTTATATGCTATCACTGTTATTACAACAATTGGTGAGTTCGACAATTACGTAAACGTTGGTGATATGCTTTTGGTTTTAATATTTTTCATCCTAATATTCAGATAAGGCCTTCCTGTTAAATGATGTTTTCGATAGTACTGCATGTATACGGTGTGTCGACGGTGGTCGAGATGGTAGGATACTAGCCAACGACTTACGTGAGTAGGGAATCGATCGTCAGCTGACACACTACTAAACCTTGCATAGCCAGTAGTAATACCAACAAAGAAGGAAGGTTGAACATGGAGCTAGAAGCTTTATCCTCTAGCTTGAAGTCCTATGTACAGCTGGGAACTCAAAGGAATGAGATAGCAAATGAAATATACAATGCAAAAGCAAGTTTATAGAGAGATAGTGTGGAAAAATAAAATTGATTGTAAGTTCTATGCTGCATTATAATTTTATATGATTGGTCCCCTGGGTTTCCAGTGGAACATAGGGATTCAGCACCACATCTCCGCTTTGTCCTTTCGTCTACAGTCCTTTTCAGCTGAACTGACAGTTGGCCATAAACTTTCATCTCCTCCAAGTCACCCTGACGCCCACGCCCAACTCATCTTTTCCCATTCGGGTTCCACTTGAGGCATTGCCTGGCATGCGATATCACTCGATGGCCTACTCAGCATGTGTCCGATCCACCTACATTTCCTCCCACATTTTTTATTGAACATCAGGTTCTATGACTGGTTTGTTCCCATAGTTTCTTGATGCTAATTCTTTCCAGCTGGCTGGCTATCTGATCTTCAGCATGCAGCTAAGGAGGAAGCTGTCGATAAAAAAGTTGGCACCTGTTGAAGGCGCTTTTCATTATGCGCTAAGTTTCTGGGTCACAGAGAAGAAGTGACTTCGCACTGGTGGTGAAAATCCAAGCTTTCTTCTCCATACTGATTGCAGGAGATTTCTAAACTGATTTCACAGTGATCAAGTTCTGTTTCTGACCTTACCGACTCTGGTTTTGACGCTGTCATCTGTACCGTCTGCCTGTAATTGGAATTATGGCGCCTAGATGAGTGACCTCTTTGAAATTTGTGTAAAATGCTTTACAGTCATATTTATACTTTAGGGAAACGAGTGTTTTTGAAAACGCAGTGACTAAATCATTGTCTAAAGTTATGAAATGAAGCAAAATTCTCAATAGGACAGAAAAAAAAAGGAAACCTACTGCCTAAGTTTTATAACGCATGAATAATTGAGACAGTTTTGTCAAATGCAAGTTAATTCAAGTAAAATTTACTACTAGTAAACAGTATTTCTTCCGTTCAAAATAAAAATCTGTAATATGAATACAGTGGAGTTCTTCAAAAAATTCAAACTTTATCGTTTGACGAGAGAGACCAACATTTATCGGGAATAGAGTTATTTTGTTGTTATTATTATTATTATGATTGAGAAAGTACGTTTTGATTATGCAAAATACTATTATCCTAGAAGGGAGCAAAACAAAAAATGCACTCTGTTTCCTACTTGAAAAAAAAATAGTGGCAAAAATATTTTGGCGTGACGAAACCTTGCGAAAACTTTTATTTCTCAATTTAGTTAACCAAACCAGCTTGAGTTTGTCAACTAACAATAGCAGAACCGACATAAGAATAGAATTTGGGCACTGTGGTAGAGTATAATTCCATTATGTAGAATATTTATTTTGATAAAGTCTCATGGTGTTTTACAGTAATATTTAGTGTATTTATAATCATATTAAGGTACTCACACGACTTTCTAACGTCGTTTATATAATTCCATTGTTTCTCACCTCATAATTTGATTGGCAGTAATATTTTCTCTGGTGTTAGTGGTGAGTCATTCCTGTTGAATGAACAGGATGAAAGAACGAACATATTTGTAGGATAATACCAGCTCGTTTTATTTCGTGGATTCTCTTCAACTGCGTACATCCTAAATAAACCAAGTGTATCTTACAAAATGGTGTCTAAACATACTCTTTACAATGATTTTAGGTTATAGATAGAAAATATATCATTTTTATTCCTTTATGTTCCCAGTGGAACACAGGGCTTCAAGCTAGAGCTTCAAAGTTTTGGTAGCAGTGGTGTTTATTTTTTACGGGATTGGGTTGCTGGCATCATGCCCAACCTTCCCTCTTTACCAGTCTTATTACTGACTTATCGAAGTAAGGGAGTGCGTCAGCCGGGGATCGAACCTCGAACCAACTGCGTGGTTGGCGAGCATTCTACCGCTGTGTCATCGACGCACACGCAAATTAAAGAGAATAAAGACATCCAGTCACCACGGTATGGGAAGACTGATAACTACTTCTTTTTGAACACGTAAACTGAGTATCAGAACTGAACTATTTTGTCTACTGATCATTTTAAAAGATTTCGCGACATGAACCTCATGACTTGTACTCATGAGATGTCTAGCGATAGCGCTATTGTAAGCATTTGTTCCATTGAGACGTAAGAAAATCTAAAGTGTGTCTTTCTTTCCGTCCTCCCAATGTAAATGCTCCCACAGATACATGTAAATTTGTATACACAGTTAGAGTTAACACGGAAGGTATCTTTCGACTTCTGACTGCATCAAATACCATGTTATCGAATAAACGGTGAGTAGCATTTGGATTCGTTTTCCACTTCTGTAGTGAATTTTATTGTCGGTTGGAAGTTTTTAAATTGCTGTAGTAGTTGATTGGGACCATAACTGTTGTCGCTAATGGTGAAAATGTCATCTATGTACTTTGATTATACTTGTAAGTTTTCAATGATCAACTTTAATGGACCGTTCTTGAGGTTTGCCTTGAAACTGTCAGTGTGTAATGAACGCAGGTGGGATCATATTGCGATCCCATTCTTTTGTCTTTAAACAGTTTCGTTGGAATTAAGTTGTAGATTAAAAATACAACTCAGCACCAATCCTTTCAAAGTACGGTGCTGGAGTGGTTATTGTATATATATATATATATATATATATATATACATATAAAACAGACACTTTCCGTAATTGAAACATTGGTGAAAGGTGATTCTGTGTTGAAAGGTAGCATAATTTTGTTAGTAACATTCATGTCTTATATGCGATCGATGAACTAAAAAGTATTAGAAAGCCAGTACATGCATACATGTTTGCTAACAGGCTCCAGAATATCGGTTAAGCGTTTAGCAATATAATGAGAAAAGAGGCCTAGCATTAACTAGAACTGGACGGAGCGGGTGGTCGACTTTGTGTATCTTTGGTAAATCATGGAGTCTTGGTATTGTTATTAAAACGGGTGGTCGGATATTATCATAAATATCCCAGCTAATTAACTGATCGGTTCTCAATCTTTCCAAGACGTCCTTAAGCTCCTTATCAATCATTTCAGTTTAACTGTTTTCGTTGAAAGGTTGGGAAAATTTATTTTTCTCTGAGAGTATATTCTTCATTTTCTACATGTAATCCTTCTGGGTCCAAAAGAATTAAACTTCACTCTCGTCAGGAGAGATTTTTTGTATTTCTTTGTTATCTATTAGCTGTTTTGATGCTTCTCGGTGATTCCCTGATAGGTGATCACAGAATTTTGTTTTTGTGCTGTAGTAGTGCTGTTGATTACAACTCATTCATTAAATTATTCGTCTTATAACGTAAATCTACCACACTCATTCAACTCATCATATACACTGACTAATATTAACAACTATGATTGTGACAATTCATCCCTTGTTTTCATTACCCTTTTTCATGGAAGAAAAATTGTATAAAGTTGAGATTGTGAGGTTGAGGAAAAAAAGAGACTCGCTGAAAAGAGCCTTTTACCTAAACTACTTGGTTTGTTCTCGTGAAATTCATTTGTATGCAGAAGGGTGCAGCAGGTCGGGTGTGAGGACAAATACTCGCCGAAGACATTGGCTAGGGGTCGCGCTATGTCTTGAATTGGCAGGAGTTAGAATTCATGGGTCATTGGATCGGGTCCCAGTGGCTTAATGTTATACGAGCTAGCCTTTTAACCAGAAGGTTCTGGGTTCGAATCCCGGTGGGTGCGTACTGTGAAGAGTTCCAAACTAGGACGAAACAGCTGTCCAGTACTCCCAGGTTTTCCAATGGTTCTCTAACTAATGTCTGCTCATGATGAAAATCCTGTAACCAATCAAATCCCTACAAACCAACACTTGGATAATCATATTTTCTTTAACCTAATCTGACTTCAGACTATGCATTTCTGAGAAAAAAAGTTATAAGAAACTAAACAATGATAAACAATTTACAGCTATTTTCTGACTAATTTGCACGATATTAACTTTAAGATAAGTGTAGAAAAATTGTAACATGCTTCCTCTCCATAGAAATATGACCATAACATAATTCTTTGGAGACGTAGAATGCTTATCATCCAGCTCTCTCCCACTTTGCCATTTAAAAGATGAAACAGAATATTTAATTCTTCTAGGTCTTAGAGGATGAAGATATGATAAAGCCGTAGTGTATCGAAACAACTGTTTAGAACTAAACAAATATGTGAAATAGAAAATCTGTCATAATAATGAAAAATGTTATGCACTTTAACTCCACCATACCTGTAAAGGAACCAATTAATTTGACGGAACATTTATAAAGTAGATAGAGACATATACAGCTAATGGTCACAAGTTGTTTTAATCTATTGTTGTCTTATCTTTTAACAGAAACAAACCTTAACCCTGGTAAAGGGATGCTGTTTTTGTCGGGTTGTTTGAAGGCTTTAAAAATCTCTTATTATCTTAAGAACCATTTTAGGATTTGTCTGAGTACTGTTACATAACATGGGGGTTGTTTGAAGAAGTTGTAAATTAGGTGAATGTAGGATAAATGAGTCTGACTCAGCTTTTTTCTCGTAGAGTGTTGAATTCAAATCATATGCAGGCTAAACATAGATCTATTATTATTTTCCTTTGGGCTCCTGGTGTAAAATAGCGCTTCAACAACACATCTCTACTTTGTTCTAATTTCCGCTCTCCTCCTCAACTGGATCCACGATTGCCCATGATCTGACATCTTCTCCAACTCATACGAAATCCT